GTGAGAATGTGACTGAGGATAAATCCCTTAGGGAAGTTAGAAGACTAGCTACCAAATAACATTTTGCCGTCAGCAAGGTTCTTTATTTATTTATTTATTATTTTCTTAAGCTAAGCATACTAGATGCTTACTAAAGCTCTACTAAAATTTACAAACACCCACCCTGTTCCACTGCTGTGAAATCTCTTTCCACCACCTTCAAGCAGCTCCTACAAATCTTAGAGGACACTACATTTCTCCCCATTACTCAACCTGCCTGTGGAAGGTAACCATCTGCAAAACATCCTCTTGGCAACGTGGTGCCTCAGCCAGCTGTGTCAACTGTGTGGTGCAGCTGCCACCTGAGAAAGTATTTAAAAGCAAAAATGCTCCAAGCAGGTGGGAAACTGAAGGACAGGTTGCCAGACAGAAGGGTGGCTTAAAACTGGAGCATTGAAATCGAGAAAAAGGGTGCATGAGACACAATAGCCATAAGATAAATGACAACTTCCTGCAGGCAGGTGGGCCCAAAGGGGTTCATCAGATTTCCTTCCCCCTTAAGCAACGTGGTGTGCTGCTAGAACCACTTTAATACCTTCCCTTCTTAACATATTTCAGGAGAAAAGAAATCTTGCTCCAGCCTTCTTCCCTCTAGGAACTCAAAAGGGTAAAGATTTGAATCAGAACAACTTCTAGAAGATGGTGGGGCAGTGTGAATGCTCCCCATACCTCACATACATGAGGGACTAAAATAGGATTTAATAACCTAACTTTGTGGTACATGGCGCTGCATGGGTTCTGTGTTGAATAGCGAGGAGCGGAAACACTGAGGGATGCACTTGGCCCAAATTCCTCAAGAATACAGAGACGGGGATAAGTCACTCATGTGAAGAAACAAAATCAGGGAATAAGATTAAATTACCTCTTCATCCCAATTAGTGCCACTACTGGGGAAAATCCACAGATGACATAAGCACAGAACACACTTGCTTTCATTAAAGCTACCCTGTTTTAAAAGAGCTAAAGATATGACCTAACAATCTTAAAATTAATATTTATCTATTCTGACCACATTTGCCAATTCCTGTTTTGTTCTTTTTTAAACACAATCTTCAGAAAAAATTATCATTGCTTTACAGAAAGGAATTCAACAATTTACTACCCAACATTAATAATAAAAAGGTGATGACCTGGTACATCATTACTGCCTAACTACTTATCTCTGGTGTGCAGAGAAATCATGTCAGTTTTAAATAATAGAGCGATTATTAAAAAATTATGTTTGTCATTAATAAAAGTTAGAGTGTTGCCAGTCACTACCAGTTATGGTAACTACCTTTTAGATTTACAATAGAGTTTAAACATGGAGGTTAAAATCAACTACTCTGTTGTTATCGAAGTGCATCACTAGATTCACAAATTGCATTAGACCTCCTTTTCAAATTTCTATTTTCGGAAGGTACACTCTGCCCAAAGTTAGGTTATTTAACAATACAACGTTAATGTTATTTATTATAAGCAAAAACAGATATAATCTTGTTCTTAATTTTTGTTTTTATCAGTCTTTGCTTCTAAGACTGTTTTGGTTGCTATTTTGGAAATCATTTCAAGGAGCTGGAATGAAACACTTCAGAGAAAAAGATGCCTAACTTAATCACATTTCTTAAATTATGCAAGTGTGCATGAGTGTGCATGCACACCCATGTTGCCCACATTATTAAATCACTGAGCTTCTTTTTAAAATCTCTTTAGAGCTAAGTGAAAGAAAACCTCTGCTTTCCATTGCTTTTACATGGACTGTAATTTAATTTGCAAAGAAAAGGAAAGCTTTATTAATACAAAGTATGAAATTACTGTTGTATTCTCCAAATAAAATCTATTACTTGGAAAACTGCCTTTTAAAATTATTTTAAAATTCTAAATTATGTAAATTGAAATCCTAGGTAGAAATATTTTGCTACTGAGGAATATTACGGAGTAGAGGAGCAAAAGAAGAATATGTAGTGTATTGAATAGAAGAGGCAAGTTTTGAAAAGGTGGGTGCCATGTATAAGTTCTTCAGTTTAGATCAGAACATTTAAAAAGCCTAAATAAAACAGATTTACCAGCTCCTTCCATTAAAAGGAGACTCAATTACTCTGGGCAGCTAAAATTGTATTAAACACTGTAAGTCAGTCAGGCTTTTCAAAAAATACCAATTTTTGAAATCGATGGCAGTAATCTGGCAAGTATATAACATGTGAAGTATCTTCTCACCTAGACATAATGACTACTTAGTTTACTTCGGGTGTAAAAAGTTATACCACTACACTTCCAAGAATGAAAACTGTGGAGGTGGCTACTGTTATTTCCATCTATCTACTGTACTTGCTGATATTTCCACATCTTCTAGGTTTTGACCTCATCCTAGGACCAGCAAATCTGTTCTTGGAAATCAGCAATCTCTGGCTGGTTTTGACAGCCTGATCCAAGAATGTGGCTACTAAATGAGCAAATGCACAGTACAGGATACCGGTCATGGAGATTCTAGTTCAGACTAGGCACACTAGTTATACTTGTCAATAATAATTTCCAGACCCAAAGAACTTCTGATTAAATAAGCAGCAAAGTAGTATTACTTTTCAGATAAGGAACTGAAGAGCTGAAAGATATTATTTTGAGTACAGATTAAGCTTGAGGCAGTGTGTGAAAGAGAATCCAAATATCCGTTCTCCAATCCCCTCCCACAGTATTTATCTCTCATCTGTTTTTTTGGCTAACGAGGCCTTGGCAGAGAGACTCACAAGCTTATAAAGCTGACAGGGCAAGTTAGCAGAACCTAAGGCTTAGCTGGCAATGTCCCTTACAGTTAAGTTACCAAGGTCCCCATTCGGACAACCTTAATATTTGAATAATTTACACTTTTCTCATCAGCCAGCTGTGTGCGGGAAGTTAATAATCAGTATGCCCTTCTTAGAGATGTTTTAATTCCCTTCAGTAGCTAAATGAAGCTGAAATGCATCCAGGACAGCACACATCTGGGACAGTATTATTAGATTTGGAGGGCATCATAGACAAAAAAATTGTCTACATTCAGGGGACTTCTTATTCCCATGCCATTCACCCCTGTAGCAGCTGTATGGAGGCCACTTTTTTTTAGCTAGATGTCTGTTTTTAACATCTTTGTAAATAAACAAGGAATTGCCACAGAAAAGCTCAGTGTACTCTTCTGACTTTGACTTTTGAGAAAATCTGAGTCTTTTCTCTGACTATTGTAACCATCAAATGTTTTCTGATGCCTTTAGAGAAGCGCATTGCATCTCCCTGACTTCTCCTAATATGACCACTAAAGAAAATTAGATCCATGTTTCTCTTAGGAGTCAGCAGGTCAATATTGAAAAAAAACAATTTAAAAGACATTTAACACGTTACTACATTTTTGTATAGCAAGAAGATTTACATTTATGAAACATAAATCTCTTTAAATATACATTCTCTGAAAGAGAATAGTTAAAATATTTAATGTACACTCATTAGATGATTTTATCTCCAATTGGTAGTTTATACAGTGCTTGAATACCTGTCCATGAACTGGGCTGCTATTAGTTTGAAGACAGAAAATACAGTGAACATTCAGAAGTATTCTATAAGATTGGGTATGTATAGATTTTGGTATTTTGCCACATTAAGTTATACTGTGCCAGGTAAGGAAGAGCAAATTTTACTTTTTAATAAGCCATTATTCAATATGGAATGTCTGTTGTATATTACCTGAGACTACATCATCAGACTGCTTGAGCAGATTTGGGGGAAAAAAAAGTGTTGGGGGGAGCGTAGGGGAAAGGATTTACACAAATCTGTATTGTGAAATAAAGAGGTTGAACACAGATACTTAGCAATTTTTCTCTGAGCTTCATGGGAGCAAAGAAAACACAGGCAGACTGATGATATTCCTACTGGTCATTCAATCTAGAAATCATTTCTAATTGTATAGGAAAAATATCCATTCACTGGGAACATTTAAGCACTCTAGACTAGATATTACATCTATTATTGCTAGGTTAATGATAAGGTGGTAGAAGTTTTGGTTATGCTCCGGGCACTGTCAGAAAGCTGGCTGCCTGAAAGCGATTCCTCTGTATTTGACGGATAGGCTCACTATGTATATTACTATTATGCTGCTCATTTCAGTGAAACAAACACATTCAAAAGTCTATTTTCTCCCCACTGGTACTTACAGAGACCATGCAGGTATGAAAGTATGATCTATCCTCTTTCCTACCTCACACTTCATCAAAAGAATGATTACATTTCAAGCTGTTGCCTTGCTTTGCAGGGAGGAAAGCTGTTGCTTTTGTGGGTCTGAACTAGTTGAACTGCAAATGACAACTCAGTTCATTCATTATTACTAAGCATGCAAAAAAAACAGCTTGATTTGCAGATCATAGGGTAGTACAGGTGACAAGGCCACATTCTTATTCAGAGAGTCTTGAAATAACAGCATAGCGAACAGAATAATCACTGCATGTAATAATACAGTTACAGGGAGATGGTGAATGATATTTACTCTCAGAACTGTTATATATCCATAATCACTAAAAGGAAGCATAGGACAACCTATTATCACAAATTAGACTTATATGCAAAGGGCTGAGAGGTTCCTTTTGACATGCATGAGAAGTCCTACATCTTCAGATGAGGTCAGAGAAATAACAAAAAACAGGATAGTTTATGAGCAAGCCAGTCCTATTTGGAAATCTTATTTTGTAAAATTTAAGGAATCAAATTTTGGTTCTGTCTCCAATCAGAAAATGCAAAAGAGCACAAATTGTATCTTACCTACAAGACTTGAACATTTTTTTTTTTTAATCTCAGGCAGGTTGAGAGCAGAGTTAAATAGTTATTTAAGCCAATTTACACACAATACTGAAATAAGAACAAAGAGGGTACAAACCAACAGAGAGTTTGTCACTGAAAAAGTAATGAGTAAAGTTCACTGCAACAAAAAATAGATATAGAAAAAAAAAAGCAGATTATCTTACCAGTAGAGTTGGTGGGCCACTTGGATACTCTGAAGAGAGCGATTCAGTAAGAGTTTCACCAGAGGGCTTTCAAGACTCCATTCAAATTTGAGCACCTTAACAGATAAATTAATAACAAGAATCACTTACACGCTCATTTTGCTGTCTTTCGTTCACAACAAAATTAAACAGAAAGAACATTATCTTTATATGATTAGTTTGAATGAAATAATCCAGCATACAGAAAATGCCCTAGAAATGCAATGAGCAAAGAAACTTCAGGCACAGGTATTTGCCATCATTTGGCCAGAGACCATCAGGAATCGGTCTGTGATAATATAGATGCAAATATGCAAGCCTCCATCCTTCTCTCTCTTGAAAAGTAAAGATGCTATATTCAATGTTTTATCTGATTAACTGTTTTGAAAATAAATCCCATCTGAAAACTGACTTGTGAAACAGAAGCTGTGAAAAGAGAAAGACTCTATAAGTTTCTTAAGGTGCTGCACACTGTAAAGGTGAGAGAATTTCATACTTCACAATAACAGATTACATAAATATGTATGTATGAACAAATATATAAATATATGTGTATACCTGTGTACATGTAAATATATGCACATGAATGTGTGTATATATATATAAAAAAACACAAAGGAATCTGAGGAGCTCTGAAATACTGTAAGCAATGTGTATATTGTATACAGTGTGACACAGTAAGGACATAAATTCTTGAAGTCAGCTGGCTTCTTCTTAACTATGAAACAGAGCCTATTCAACCACAAAGCAATTGCTATCGAAGCACTTGGGCCCATAACCTGTAAAACGTTCATTTCCAGTGAAAAGCAATGTACATCTCTAAAGAGAGTATTCTGCACCTAAATTGCTTGGTTACTATGCGCTGACAATGATTTTCCCTATGACTGCAGTATTTGTACTTCAATACTGGATATAGCCATCAAGAAAACTGATTCATTGCGACACCCTCTGCCTTGACTGCAATGAAACTCTGACACCACTAGCCCCTAGTCTGATACTCAAAGCAGCATTTCTCTTGTTCAGATGAATGGTTTTTATTTTTTTCCTTTTTTTTTTTTTTGAGGAAAGGCCTTTTGCAGTGTACAGAAAAATTCACTCGGCATGCAGAAAGAGAACCATGTCTCTAAAGCAATCTATTGCTCAACCCTCTTGTTAATTCAATCACTGCATCAGCTGATTAGTCTTTCTTATTTATTCCTCTTATAATGTATCAATCAAACTGAAATAATCTGAAATGTTTAATGAAGTTATTGATCTGGACAGAAGACTTCCTTGGCTATCAACTTCCTCCTTACCTGAACCAGCTGTGGGAGGTATTCTAACAATTCATCATTTGACAGATTTTCTATTTGTTGGACTGCTGTTCTGCGAATATTTTGATCTGGAAAACTAGAGCAAAACAAATAGATATTATTAAGAGCTACTGAACCACTGCTGATGCACTGCAACTCTCCAGAGCTTTCACTGATACAAAATGTTAGAAAAACAAATTTGCTCTCAAAATGGCTTAGGAAAAAAGCAATTCACTTGCTTTACTGTAACAAGAATCAAGAGACACACAGCAGATAATCAGATTGACTGTTAAAATGCCACACAAGGAAAAACAACTCACAACACTGATCTTCAGATTTTTTTTTTGAGTCATCATATATTGTACTTTCCTTTATTTGCATTTTATTTGTATTGAAGCATGAAGCAAATTAGGGCCTTCCCTTCCTGCTCTAATTTAGTTTAAATGAGAAATTTCTGTGCCATGGGGACTTTTAAAAGACACTTGAAGACTTCCTTTGTCCTGACCTCCAAGACAAAATCTTGAAATTTCCCACAGAAAGGGTTTGTTTCAGAAAATTTTCTCCGATGTCAACTCTTCTGGTTCATATTACAACACAATAAAATATTTTTAAGCAGAAGTAAATTTGAAATGAAAAAAAAAGTTTTCATTTTTCCTAAAGCAAAATTTTGTGAAGAGCTTACATATCTGTACAGAAAATTTCCAAGTCAGTGAAACAGCCTTTTCCGATGTGAAAATGTTCAATGAATATTCAGGATAAACTCTATTCTGAACAAATACTGGCTGGCACCAGAGTGGATGTGGGCTGACTACAGACTTTGCCATGGAGCTCTAGAAGTAATACCGATGAAAAGATGGTGTAGCAACCATTATAAAATGGATGAAATAGGCTGGATAATAGAGGTGGTCAAAATATTTTTAAGAAAGAAAAAGAATGCAATCTAAATGTAACCTGATTGCCTGATCAAAACTGACTCTTACTGCAACTTTTTCTCTTTTCAGAAGCCAACATTTAAAGTGTCTCTCAACTTTTCACAGCTGAAAACGGTCTTTTAAGCATTTCTTTTGAAAAAAAAAGACAATAAAAACTGATTTCCACTTCTGATGTGCTGCAGGTGTGACATTAATAACGATACTCACAGAACTCCACATGCAAACAAGTGAGCAAAATTGTTTCCCAGGTGGCCGTTTTGCTACTGGTGGGGTGAGGGCAAGACCTTGCCCCACAGGAAACACTGAACCCCACCACTTCTGAACTGATAGGACTGTTGGGGTCTTTTGAAAACCTCCATCTTGCTAATTTGGCAGTGTCAGTGTGCATGCAAGATGACAAGTAAAGGCTGCAGATTTCGCTGTCATTTTGGCCTAAAGGAAAACCTTTTGAAATCAGAGCTGTCATGTAGGCAGCGTGCAGAAGGCCTTGTGGGACTACCAGTATTACTGCTACATGTGTTCAAAAAGCGGACTGCTCTGTTCCAGGCTTTCCAGCCAGCACCTTCTGCCAACAATATATCCACCTGAAAAATAAATCAGAAGTGAAACACAAGAGAGAGTACCACAGTGGCAGCAACTATTGCTGATTGCTATCAAGAGAGAAGGAGAGAAAATTGTAAAGGTAAGTGTTCAGAAGTACAACGGCACTTTTAAGTTTAATAAAATAAAGTGAAGCAAAACAATATGCACCCCTAAATATGTTTTGCTCATCAAATTAATTGTAGGCCACATAATAAAAACACGTACATTTAGAAAACAAATGGTTGATAGTTGTACCTACTGTAAGGTCCGGCTTTTGTGCCGCAATCATCTGCCACCTGCAGCACTTTCAAACTCCCCTCTAACAATACGGCTTGGCTCACATTTTAGTATTTTGTTCCTCGGTTATGACACATACTTGATAATGTTTTTAATAAAGTCTATAATTGCTAGCCTAATGATGAGGGGGTCTTGATGGGGAGGGAGGGAATACTTTATATTTTTTTTTTAATATGAAAAAATTATTTTAGTCCCAAATTAGCCCATCTTGCAAGAGTTAAATTTTATTCTTCTCTAATTCAAGAAAGCCTATTACGAATATTACATTGCTACTTTAATATGCACAAGCCTATTGAGAACAAAACACATTTGAATAAAGATTGCATATTAAAAAAAAATAATTCCGCGTATGTGATTCTATCATCTAATTACGCAATTGCTCCACAAAGCTTGTCTGCCAAGACTGTGCAGATAATATGAAAATTAGTCTTTCACTTTCCCTTCTTGCTTAGTTCAACAGGTTACTGAAGAGTGAAATATGTTCTTTATAGGCACCAAGTCATGCAGAAAAATGCTATTACTTAGTTACTGCTTGTCCTTACTAGCAGCCAATGTTTGAATATATCCAATGTTATGATGGAAGATACTCCTGTATTTTTTCCAGCTAAACAAAGAATGATAAAAGTTATTTTAATCTCAGCATTTCCACATAATCTATCATTTGATTTCTTTCAAATTAGTTTGCAAAAAGGGACATAACCAAGTTAGCAAAAGAATTTCTAAGAGATGTGAGTAGAATAATGATGAGTTCAAGAGCATAGGCACTGTGGTGAAAAGTCCAGAGGTGAGTGCGTTTCTGGAAACACGCCTCTTGTCACTCTACTCTTGAATAAGATTTGGGGTCATTTATTTCTCTTGGTTACTAAATTGTTTCCTTCAGCATTTGGATTTTAAGGTTGGCTTGTAGTTGAGTTCAACCATTTTGAAGGAATGACATGTCCTTTTAACCATCCAACAATTTGTTAAGCCTCAAATGTAATACTCATTGCTCTCTTGAATTTTAATGTTCTTCGGGGCCACAGAAACAAAATGAAAAAATATTTAATGCTATCTATCTAGTTTATTCCATACATTTGTATTTAGGAATTTAAGCAACCCTACAAAGTCCTCAGAAACATGAGAATTACAGTAATACTTAGAAATTCACACAATATTTTATGATACTTGTGCTATTCATATTTACAATCATAAGCTTTATCTGCAAAAAGCTAGTGGCATGGTAAGGCCCAGAAGCTGATCTGAATAAAAAGCCCTAACCTTCATGCTGCTGGAAACTCTTTCTTCTTGTGGTCTTCTAATCAATTAGGCCTAGAGGGGTTTTCCTATGAGTAATCTGGCAAACTTTTGAGTGCTGTGTCAAATCTGATTTCAGTAGTTCATAAATTACTCTTGATTAGAGGACACAATTAATTGATTTTTTGGCTCAGTGACTGAATGTGAGAAATCGCTTTAGGCCTAGGAGAAGCAGCTTTGTAGCAAAGAGATCTGGGGACAGCTAAATTCCAGGGCTTGCTACAATGAATATGTAATGACTCCTACCTCCTGAAAACTCTGCAGCAGACAAGATAAGATCACCGTATCGCCAACAACCCTGTGACCAGGTCATTGCCCTAGGAGGCCCGAGCTCATCAGATCAATTTGGCAAGAACTTGAAACACTGACTACCACAGCCCTGACTAGTGGCTGGTGTCAGTGGCTTCTGAGGGGCAGGAGATTCAGCACCCCCCTTTCCTCATAGCTCTTTTATTATTGTCATCCAAATCTCTTTGTGAATTTAGCTAGAAAAATAGCGTTAAAACAAAAACATTGTAACAATGCTTGTATGACTCTTTGCATATTTTTATTACTTGAAACTATTTGTTGATTTTGACCAAGATTTCCAATTACTTTTGGTCAATAAATCTTAAGGGAAAAGAACTAGTATATTACCCAGTCACCAGCCTGATCATGCTGGGACATACTGTAGCTTTCTTTTTTTTTTGAATTATTTTGTTTTTGCTTCCTTCGGGTAATGTCTACTCCATAATAAGGTTTTGCTTTCTTAGAATTTTGTTCCATGATTATATACTTAGGGACATTACTCAACAAAAAGCAATATGGAAATAATAGTTATTGTGTCTAGTTCTTGGCAACAATTTAGACTACTGAAACTTCCAATATCAACTTCCAATTGGAAATTTTCACTTCAGAGGTTCTCTTGCAACCTGGATTCTTCCATAAGATGCTATGAAACAGACTCCCTTTGACATTTAACATGAAAACCTCTTTTGCCATTTTAAAATCACACTGCTTTATTCCTTTCTCCCTGCATAATGCAGATGACTGATAGCCCTCCATTTTATAATTTCCCTTGAAGTACGTAGGTGCCTCTTGAGACTTTATAACAATTCCTGAAAAAGTTGAATTTCAAGCTGAATGAACATATACTCCAGCTTACTTTGGAAGTAAGAATAACTTACCATCTTTGATTCTTTTCATATAGATAGCCAGGAGGGAGCTATTTGACTAGCTATATTTTTCAGCTAAATCAGATCCAAACAGAAAAGTTAATGCCACCATGGTATCCTGTGGATTTGTGATATTGTCTTGAGATTTTGGCATCTAGCAAACAGTGGCTTGATTATAAATGAGAAATAGATGTGCATTTCATTTTTAACAGTTATATTATCCTAATTGCATTGCACAGTCTCAAGTAGCTGGAGGATATTTGTCAGGTAAGTGGAACATTACAATTCACTACATTTTTTAACACCTGGGAGTCTCTGCATAGAACACCTTTCATGTGCCATCTTTTCTGCTAGAGGCTTGTGATGTGCCGCACAATTCTGTAACTCCCTTTACATTTAAAGTATGAACTTTAAATTTGGTTGCACTCTTGCAAAAGGAAAGACTCTGGCCCCAAGAAATGTATTTCATCGGGTCTGTCGGAAACCATGAAGGCAGAGGTAACAAATTGCTGGAATCAAGACAGCAATTCAAAGCTCTACCAGGTAAAGGATTGCATATCACTGACAGCTGCAACTATGTTAGGAGAGAACGCATAGAACAACAGTTTAAAAGAACACAAAGCTAAGCTTTGGGTGACCATATTTAAAAAGCAACCAGGCTGCAAGAGGGAAGGTATTTAAAGAATGACAGTTAGGGAACTTAGTTTTAACATTTTTGTTACAGTTAACACTAGCAAGGTTTCTTTCCTTATTGTTATTGTTTTTTTTTCATTCCTTTGAAGGCTTCTAAACAAAACATTATATGAGTGTATTAAAACTAGAAAATGGTAAAAACTTCA